TTACATGTGAGGTATGATCAGGTAAATTCATAAAGTACGTTCCAGGATAACAAATGGTATACTTCACCTGATTACATTTATCGTTATCCTTCAGACGGTAACTATTGGGAATTCTGAGAAACAGCGGACAATTTCTTTTATTAGTTTGTTATGCGAAAGTAAGTTGAACGACCGACCGGTGGTTTCAGTACGTGGTAATTTTGGGTTCACTTTTCCCATTTGGGCGCTAATACAAGTTTCTCACAAGATACACTTATACCAGTTCAATAACTTGTTAATAGTGGCACAATGCCATTTAATTTTTATAAAGGAACGCAATTATTAAAATAGGCTCATTACAGTAATTGGATTCTTTATTTAGAGTGTTATTGTCAGGACGACCGGAAAGGTGACCTGAAGGAAACGTTTCGATGTCCAGGGTCGGCAGCGGGGGGAATGTGGCTCATCAAACACTTCGATTCTTCCACAAATGTTAATAATTTTTTTTTTAACTGATCCTATTACGGTTCTGTACATCACGTTCATGAAAGTGTCAAATTTTGTGATTATTATTAGACAAATTTTAGGCGCTTAGTGTTGATTATTTGGTTCTGGTAGTAAGTGCTTGCTGAACGGAAAACTGTTTTCTCGTTCGGCAATTAACCAATTATTCCAGTCCACGTCCTGAAAGCTCTGATCTCTCATAAAACCCGCGACCGTTCTCTTATTCTACTTCTTCGTGTTCTTTAGTTTTAATCTTACCTGTTTTTTAGTTCTTTCATCATTTTCCTTCTTTTTGCCTATGTTTATTTGAATATCTATTTTTTTATGTATTGTTGTAGTTTTTATCGAAAATGATGTTCATTTGGTATTTTTAGTGTATTTTTAACGGCAAATTTAAATTGGTAAGCATGTGTGACTCACATAGAAACAATAAATCAATGGGAACGACGATTTTATTTCTGCCTTTCCTACCAAATTTTATTACAAAAACCCTTCACATGTTATTAGTTACGATAAGGTACACGATAACTTTTTTTAAACGTTCAACATAAAAAACCCAATTAATAAAACGGTGCCTGCAACCATCAATACACCTCAACAGACGTCATTATATATCATGATATATTTAGCAACAAATTAAAGATAATTATGTAGTTTTTTTGACCTTTAATCGAATTATATTATAAAGAAAACTTTCCTTGTATAATATACAAAATGTTTTGTTGAAAAAACATCGTTATTTTTTGTCACCATTTTGCAATTTAATTTTGAAACTGCAAAATCGAATGTTCTGAAAGTTTGTGGACGTTTTAAAGAAATTAGAGCACGGTGGGCGGGGCTACTACCCGCTAAAGTCAGTTTTATTGTCTTAGCAGCTACTAGCTCCTCCCACCCACCCTGTCTTTTCTTAGAGGGTATGTCATTTGCCAAAATCGATCTTAGATTACGAGGTACTAACCCCGCCCACCCGCCCTCTATTTTCTTAGAGGGATCTCATTTGCCAAAATCAGTCTTATCCTAGCAGGTACTTGCCCCGCCCACCCACCCTCTCTTTTCTTAGAGGGTATGTCATTTGCCAAAATCAGTCTTATCCTAGCAGGCAGTAGCCCCGCCCACCCACCCTCTCTTTTCTTAAAACGTATATCATTTACCAAAATCAGTCTTTTCTTAACAGCTACTTGCCAGGATAAGACTGAGTTTGGCAAATGGCATACCCTGTAAGAAAGGAGAGGGTGGGTGGGCGGGGCTAGTACCTGCTAAAATAAGGGTGATTTTGGCAGATGAGATACTCTCTAAGAAAAGAGAGGGTGGGTGGGCGGGGCTTGTATCTGCTAAAATAAGGGTGATTTTGGCAGATGAGATACTCTCTAAGAAAAGATAGGGCGGGTAGGCGGGGCTAGTACCTGCTAAGATAAGACTGATTTCTTATAGGAAAAGACACTAGAGGCTCTAAAGCACTTTCAAATTCTTTCCAAACGGAAATACCTAGAACTTCAAGATTGTTTTAAATTTCTCAAAAAAAGACGGGGTCCCAAAATTAACTCAAAAACAGGTCAGTTCAGAATTTTCCAAAAATGGAACCCCAAAGTCCCCCAAAATTATTTTAAATAATTTGCAAAAAAAATTTCCATGGGCTCCCAAAATAATACACCAAGGGTACCCAAGAGTTTCCCGAATTAAAAAAAAAACTGCTGCACTCAAGACTTTTTTAAATCCATAAAAAATAAAATACTAGAAGCTCAAAAGATTTTTTTAAGTTCAAGTATGTGCAATACGAATATCGTGTAGATGGTAAAACGCTAATCAAAATTTGGGTAATTGTCCCTACCAACAATCTGATGACGTCATCTCCAAAATTTATAATAGTAAATATTATTTAAATTTTATAAAATATGGTTGATGAACCCCTGAGTTTTTATCCTATTTAAGATTTTTATTACTTTTTTATAAAATAAAAGTCAATGCATTTTTTAACATTTCACTCCATTTTTAAGGTTATTTTTGAAAAAGTTGTGGATTTCTAAAGATTTTGACCACGATTCCAGCGGATCCATATAGAAACCGCTGATGAGATTTGTACAGAAAAATAACAAAAATCATCAACGTCAAAATTAGCCTGTTGTCTTAAAAAAAAATTATAAAGCACCTTATATTAAATTAAAAATAAAATGTGGGGTGAAGCGTACCATTTTACCTACTACTAATTTGCCCCTTTTTTGGTATTATATACATATATTTAATTTTATAGGATTGCATACTCTTGCATGTGTGATTCATGAATCCGTGTCGAGTTTTCGCCCAAGCCATCCAGATTTTTGAGAAACAAATCAAAATTGTATAATAACATTTTACAATTTAACTTTGAAATTGTAAAACTGAATGCTTTGAAAACTTGTAGGCTTTTTAAAATTATCGTAAGCATAGTAAATAAAAATTTTATACGCTCTAAAAAAGGATGACATTGATGACGTTATTTTATAATTTTGCAGAACCAATGTCCCTTAAATTTTATAGAATTACATACTCCCTGTATGTGTAATTTAGAATTCGTGTTGAGTTTTTCCCCTAGATATCGAACTTTTTGGGAAAAAAATCAAAATTGTATTTTACAATTTAACTTTAAAGTGGCAAAAGCGAATGTACTGAAATATTCTAAACGTTTGAAAGTTATAGGAAAGATGATAAATCGCTAATCAAAATTTGTTCGACAAAAAATTATGACGTCATCTTAAAATTCTACCGAACAAATATCCTTTGAATTTTATAAAATAATATAGTCCTTTATGTCTGATTTATGAATCCGTGTTAACTTTTTTTTCGACAAAAAATTATGACGTCATCTTAAAATTCTACCGAACAAATATCCTTTGAATTTTATAAAATAATATAGTCCTTTATGTGTGATTTATGAATCCGTGTTAACTTTTTACCCTTAGCATCCAGATTTTTGGGAAAAAAAATCAGCATTGTATAACAATATTTTACAATTTAACTTTGGAATTGAAAAAAACGAATCCTGTAAAATCATGAAGATATTCCTCTGCGTTGAGGACACAAAATCAACCAAATTTCATTGTCTTTTAACCGCAGATTATCGCTTGTAATCTGAACGTGCTAAAAGTCGAATTCGGGGGAAGTATAAACATAAACAGTCGAAGTTAAGCGTATACTGAGAAAGTCTATATTTTTTCCCGTTAGTTTTGTTTTTCTTGATATAGTCATCAAAATTCCAAAAACAACATATTTTTTTCAAAACGCCGGCAAAACTGAAAATGATAATAGTAATTTAATAATACTCAAACAACATCTGTGTACAATACCACAGGGTCCCACTTTGTAAATTTCCCGGTGGACCGCTATGTCCTCAATCCGACACTGGCAAAATAGGATGAATCGATGCTTGCGATTTATCATTGGATTCGTATTTTTTAGAATTGCTTATACAGGATGTCTCAAAAAAATTAATTAATGACTCAATTTATTTTATTGATTAAATCAGGATCGGCTTCACAAAATCAAATTTTATAATTTCTCGAAAAAGCTGAATGCATAATATATCAGCGCAACCAACAACTCCCTTGTCTATGGCTGAATGTTTTATTGTACTTTAGGGGTGAGAGAAGTTTTGTCGAAATAACATTGAACCCATTTTTTGTAGTGATTTAATTCGCGGTAGTTTAATATTAATAACTGTTTATAGAAAACTTTCATTTGAAGAATTTTTAATTTTCATTATTATAATAATTAATAACTATCTATAAAAAAAAATAGGTTTTACGCTTCCTAACCTATATTGTAACATTCTACTTTATTTCCATTTTCTGTGTTTAGTTACGACGTAGTTTTCGGCTAAATTTAACAAATGGTTGAATAACTAGGTCAGAAATTAAAAATATCACCCGATATGAATCATGAACTAACTATAGACATAGCGAATCCAAGTATTTTAATTCAAATAGAGTTAATACAGCACGAAGTGTTGGTCTTCCGTTTCCGTATGTCTGTCTGTCGGTAACTGTATTAGACGAACAATATTCGAGATTGGAAAATGGCAACTAAGTTATGTCAGTTATTTAAATTTAAAACTGTTAAAATTAGTGAAGTCAATTAATTTGGTTTTACGACTACGTATGGATTTTACTTTTCTAAGGTTACAAGAGGTGCAGTTTTAAAAAATATATTATTATCTGCTAAATTGTTGAAAAATCGCATACAATATGATTTTTTTTTATGAAAAGACAAAATAGACACTGAATTTTTCAATGGAAACGGAAAATTCAAAATTTTGCCATCAGCTCTGTGTACCCGTCTGACCCGACGCCAACATAAATTATTTAAATCATAAGCTGAAAACCTGTCATTACCCTCCAAGCCCAAGAATAACTCGTTAAATGCTCATCACATTAATAGGATTCTTTATTTACGTAGTTGGTAAAACATTAAGACAATATATATCAGGACAATACTCCTGAACATTGACATTTAGAAGAAAAAACATCAAAACATTAATAATTAACTTAAGCAGTCTTCAAGATATGCACAATTTCAGCAACATACTCCTGGTCAGTCACAAAAATGGGCTTATCGTCCCCCACATCCGCCTCACTCTTCTTCTTTTTCTCCCCCTCAGCCACCTCCTTTGCCTTCTTAAAAGACCCATGATACTCTTTAGCCTCAACATGCTCAATAATGAACGCCAAATTCTGCTTATTTATCCCTCCCCCTGGCATAATACAGATCCTATCCCCCACCTGCTCCATCAGATTCTTGATCATCTTAACCCCCAACTGGGCGTTACTCTGCTGGCCGCTCGTCAGCACCCTCGTGAACCCCAAATCTATAATAACCTCGATCTCGATCGTCGGCCTTCTGCAGACATCGAACGCCCTATGGAACGTGACCGGGTGCGGGAAACAAGCCATTATAATCTCCCTGCACTGCTTCATGTCCACCTCGTCGTTGGTGTTCAGCGCCCCGAAGACAAACCCGTGAGCGCCGTACTTTTGCAGGATCATCGCGTCTTTCTTCATGATTTCGATCTCTTCGGTCGTGTAGACGAAGTTCCCGGGTCGGCATCGCAGCATGCAGAAAACAGGGACCTTCTTGGTGTACTCGAGGATCTGGAGGAGCAAACCGGGAGAAGGAGTCAGCCCGCCCTCTGTCAGCGACGAGCACAACTCGAGTCGGGTGGCGCCGCCGTTAATGGCGGCCACTGCCGACTCGTAGCTGTCAACACACACTTCCAAAGACCTTGGCATTCTAACCTAACCTAAAACAACAAATATTGATTCGCGTCGGGCGGTAAGGGGTTGTACTTACTTAAAGCATACACCGGGAGATCGAGAGGAATTTGATTTATTAGTTCAACTACGGTACACTCAATTGAAAGATGTTATACTTTGCACTGACATCCGAAAACCGCCACCAGTGTATTTCACTTGAGCGCCGTTTTGTTTGTTGTTGTATTGGTTCACTTCTCGGCTAGATTCGTACGCCAGTTTTTGAAATTTTTGCGCCTTTTTCTCGGCGATGTACTTCTTCTTCAGGTCGTTTAGCTCGTCGGTAACTCGTTGGAGATCAGACTTGTATTCTTTGGCTTGTAATTCGGCCATATTCAATTCGGAGACCAAACACTAGAAAAATCGGGGATTTATTAAAACCGAATATTTTGTAAAGACGCAACAAAAAAAGAACAAAGTCAATAACAGAGATCAAAATATCGCTATTTTAATTATTGTTACTACTATAAATTATTACCGCATAGTGATCATATAATAAATTGATTGGGCTACAAGCATGTCAAGGTCACCGGTAATGGCTACTTTACATGCACGCAAACCTAAAAAATTACGTTTACGTAATAACCCCGAGGTTTTAGTTCTGATCTTTAGAACGGCACGCATATTTCCTATGTACATTTTATTAGTTACAATGACTCTACACAAACGTATAACACAATTATTATTTTGCAACTTATCTATCGACCATTTTAAAACAAAATAATATAACGGACATTACATACGTCTGCGTCATCACCGTAGTTACGGTGGTTAAGATTGAGGTTAATTTTGTGGTCGTAACTAACATTAGATAATATCCAAAAACGCGGAACTAATAAAGAAATTAATAACACAGGCCTGCGATGGTTTTCCTCCAACAAAATCAAGTAGTAATTTTGGTAGGTCTTAGACACTCATGTATAAAAAAAAATTGCAAAAATTTCTATCACGTACAGTTCCTGCAAAAAATATTTTTTTCAGTTTTGTTCTTAGTACTATAAAAATTAACTTCTAGATTTTGTGGTAATAATATATATGGATAATGGTGTTGATATTTCATTTCGTGTTCAGCTTAGTAAGAGTTATTTGTGTCGACTATGCGCTTATTACCCTGAATTTAAACAAAAATTACTAATGTCTTCTCGGAAATGGGTTAATTCTTCAGATAAGTTTGCTGACACCAATGATTTGGATGGAGCCACAAAATCATACAGACGATTGTTACTTTTGCTGTTCAAATATAAAATGATATAATGCGAAAAATGTAACAGCAATAACATATCCTATCGTGAATACAAGAGAAAACGCTTAAATCAGAGCTTTGAAGAAAGAAAAAAAGAAGCTTCTTGATTTATTTGTTTTTTTAAGTCTTGTTTATAACTAATTTAGTTCATTTAATAAATAAACATTCAATTTTATATTCTTTATATTTTATTTTTTCATAAAAATTGTTTGAAAACCTATGAATATTTAGGCCTACATAAAAATAAATCTCGATGTGTTACAAAAAAACTAGAGTTATATTTTAATTCAGCATACATAAATACCTAAAAAGAAACAATATTACTTAAAAGGGAATTTAAAAGTTATATTTCGCAGGCCTGTGTAATTATTGTTGTTACAATAATTTTTATATATTCGTTAAAGTTTTTCGCTCTGTTCGTTATATCTTTATACTGTAGCAATTTTTTAGCTCATTTTATTTGTCTCTACTCTCTATTCAAAATAACAATAATTTGGTTTTTAGTTAAGCTAATTTGGCAACGTTGTTGAAGTGGATTACTCAAATCGATATGAGCAGTAAAGTCCGCGCAGGTTATCAAAAGGTCAACGATTTCGCTCAATTTGGACCACCTCTATCTGTGGATTTAATTATTTGTCGTCTACATTATTTTATTAAATTATAACTCTATTAAACACTTGACTTTTAAAATATTCACAAAAAGTATATTCACTGTTAGTTCGAATTTTATAGCATAATAGACACGCAAAACCAAATATCAAGGTTCTGGACTAAAAATAATATTAATTAGCTAATTAAAACAGAAATCGATTCTTTAAAAAAGATAATTAAAATTACAGCTTTAAAATGAGAATTTTTTTAATTTAATGTAGTTGAAATTGGAAATTTATTTATTAATTTTGCAAAAGCTGCCAGATATTCAGCATTAGTCAACGAACTTCTCATTCCTAAAATATCCAAAGAATTCCCGTCGATAATAATAACATCCGTTTTAAGCGATTATGAACCTTATCAGAGAGCACATTGAGCATAAATTGCATTCAAATCAAATAGGAAATCAGTGTTTGACCTTTAGGATGGTCGAGATAAATTCGTGTTGGTACTCTTGATTGGTTAAAAGGTTGGTATGTAACTTTGATGTTCAACTTTTGCCGTATTTAAAGGGGTTTTAGAAAAAAAGTGGAGGATTTAAGTTGATTATTACAAAAATTTATCATTTAAGACGTGTTTTAAGTTTCTTGTTGTCGCAATAAGTCTACACATATTAAGAAAAAAAGGCAAAATGTAGCCCCGCCCACCCGCCCTATCTTAATTGTGATGATTTTTTTTATTCGTCGTGAGCCAAGAAGGCGGAGCTTAACTGCAAAATCTTTATTTCTCTAGGAGAAATTAAAAACAATTCCTTCCTGTTGTTCAAAGAATGCTATGTATATTAAGAAAAAAATAAAGCCAAAGATTAAGCCCCAGCCATATCTGCCCTGATCTAAATAGTAACGAAGTTTTCATTAGTTGGCGGACCTAGGGGCGGAGCCTAATAGCAAAATCCATTTTTCTTTACAAAAATTTACCCCTTTAAACGTGTTTTAAGTTTGTAAAGAATAAAAAAATCATCACAATTGAGATGGGGTGGGTGGGCGGGGTTTATATTTTGTCTTTTTTTAATATGCATAGTATTTTTTGAAGAACACGATATTCAAAACCATGTTTTTAATTTCTTGTAAAGAAATAAGTATTTTGCAGTTAAGCTCCGCCCCCTTGGTTTACGGCGAATGAAAAAATCATCACAACTGAGATAGGGCGGGTGGGCGGGCTTACATTTTGCCTTTTTGTTTTAATATGTGTAGACTTCTTCTCACAACATGAAACTTAAATGGAAAATTTGTATAAGAAAATATACCATTTTAACCATGTTTTAAGTTTCTTGTTGTGAAAAGATGGCAATGTATATTAAGAAAAAAATAAATTGGTCAAACATTAGTTCAACAGAACTTCCCTGGCCCTTGAAATACAGTCCAAAAAATTCCGCTTCTCTGAAAAATTATATAAAAAAAAGTTTTCTGATAACCTTTATATAGTAAAGACCAGTGGTGTGAATGACAAATTCTAAGGAAGTTCCATGAGACTAAACTGCACAAACAACGGTTAGAATGCGAGCGCAGCGAGCACGTTCAGGTATAATTTAAAAAAAATTATTTATTGGTGTCCCCGAGAAGCTAAATTATTAAGAACAATTTTGTTATTATTTAAAAATGCGAATTTAGAGATGAATAACTAAGCAGTTTATTCCTAAATGTTTTTATGACACTAAAATAATTCAAAAAAGAACATTCAGAATTTTTCATTAATGAGAGAATTTTTTAGTGTCTATAAAAATGAATCTAGAAAGTGTTTGTGAATACTAAAGTCGGAGAGGCACCAGTAACGTTACGTGCTCGCTGCGCTTGCATTATAATCGTTTTTTTTTTAATAATAATTCTAGGGATCTATTATTACAACAAAACCCAGACAGACATAAGTTTTTTGCAGTTAAGCTCCGTCCCCTTGGTTAACAGCGAACAAAAAAATCATCACAATTGAGATAGGGCGGGTGGGCGGGCTTACATTTTGTCTTTTTGTTTTAACATGTCGTGTAAACTTTTTTGCTCCGCCCCATAACTGCAAAATCCATATTACCTTCCAAAAATGTACCATGTTTTAACCATGTTTTAAGTTTCTTGTTGTGAAAAGATGACTATGTATATTAAGGAAAAAAAAGGGAAAATATAAGCCCCGCCCACCCACCCTATGTCAATTCTGATGATTTGTTTTATTCGCCGTGAAGCAAGAGGGCGGAGCTTAACTGCAAAATACTTATTTCTTCACAAGAAATTAAAAACATGTTTTTGAATATCGTATTGTACAAAGAATACTACGCATATTAAGAAAAAAAGCCAAAATATATAATAATAACAATATACATTGTATTTTTTGAACAACACGATACTCAAAACCATGTTCTTAATTTCTTGTAAAGAAATAAGTATTTTGCAGTTAAGCTCCGCCCCCTTGGTTTACGGCGAATGAAAAATTCATCACAATTGAGATAGGGCGGGTGGGCGGGCTTACATTTTGCCTTTTTTTTTTAATATGTGTAGACTTCTTCTCACAACATGAAACTTAAAATATGTTTAAAATGGAAAATTTGTATAAGAAAATATGCCATTTTAACCATGTTTTAAGTTTCTCGTTGCGAAAAGATGGCGATGTATATTAAGAAAAAAATAAATTGGTCCAACATTACTTTAACAGAACTTCCCTGGCCCTTGAAATACAGTCCAAAAAAATCCGCTTCTCTGAAAAATTATATAAAAAAATTGTTTTCTGATAACCTTTATATAGTAAAAACCAGTGGTGTGAATGACAAATTCTAAGGAAGTTCTATGAGACTAAACTGCACGAACAACGGTTAGAATGCGAGCGCAGCGAGCACGTTCAGGTATAATTTAAAAAAATGATTTATTGGTGTCACCGAGAAGCTAAATTATTAAGAACAATTATTATTTAAAAATGCGAATTTAAAGATGAATAACTAAGCAGTTCATTCCTAAATGTTTTCATGACACTAAAATACTTCAAAAAAGAACAGTCTGAATTTTTATTAATGAGAGAATTTTTTAGTGTCTATAAAAATGAATCTAGAAAGTGTAATAGTTTTTTTTTAAATAATAATTCTAGGGATCTATTTACAACATAACCTAGACAGACATAAGTTTTTTGCAGTTAAGCCCCGCCCCCTTGGTTAACAACGAACAAAAAAAATCATCACAATTGAGATTAGGTGGATCGGCGGGCTTACATTTTGTCTTTTTGTTTTAACATGTCGTGTAAACTTTTTTCACAACATGGGTCTTAAAACGTGTTTAAAATGGAAAAATTGTATAAGGAAATATCAATTTTGCTCCGCCCCATAACTGCAAAATCCATATTTTGTTCCAAAAATGTACCATTTTAGCCATGTTTGAAGTTTCTTGTTGTGAAAAGATGACTATGTATATTAAGGAAAAAAAGGAAAAATGTAAGCCCCGCCCACCCACCCTATCTCAATTCCGATGATTTGTTTTATTCGCCGTGAACCAAGAGGGCGGAGCTTAACTGCAAAATACTGATTTCTTCACAAGAAATTTAAAATATGTTTTTGAGTAGTGTTGTACAAAGAATACTACGTATATTAAGAAAAAAGCTACAATATATGAAATAAAAATATACGTTGTATTTTTTGAACAAAAACAAAAACATGTTTTTAATTTCTCGCCCTCTTGGCTTACGATGAATAAAAAAAATCATCACAATTCAGATAGGGTGGGTGGGCGGGGCTACACTTTTATCTTACAACGGCAACGTCAACGGCGAACAGCAACGTCAGCGACAAGTTTGTAAATTGACCTTAATAGATCCTATCCTGCAACTGTCATCATATCAACATAACAATTTTTATTGATACAGAGTGTCCTTAATGTTTGTCGCATCAAACTATCACTGGAAATTTAGATTTATTCAAATTTACCGCTCACTCTGATTCAGGAACCTCTACTACCTGTCATAAATCACCCATAAACCATAAGGAAATAATATTATATTATTATTATACACAGGATTATTATAAATCGGGGCTTAAAAAAATTTAGGTCTATGGATTTGCCGCTTTTACAGTCCATGTTTAGACAAGGCGGCAAAAATGAATTTCCACTGCGATGACTCTTAAAAAATTTAGTGTTAGGGAATCCCTGGTACAAAAACGAAAGTAGACACATCGTAAAGAATTATTAACAATAAAGAGGCACTAATTTTTGAAATATGTACATGAAACAATTTAATAATTCCGACTTCATTAATTGTTAAATAACAATGTTCAATTAGGTTTTGCAAGAATTCATGCATTTAGCACATTTTCTATATATAGAAGTGCATGTTACGCAAAGTTTGCGTTTGTGCAAGTTCAAATGTACATAATGTCATGTTCCGCATATCTGCGTTATGCAACTTTGTTTATGTAAGGTAAGGTCGGGTAAGTGCAAATTCCCGGTTGTAAAATAAAGGTATGTCAGTAAATAAATACATACAACCAAATTTACTATATACCCGGTGATTAATTAAACTGCTATAAACACTCAAGCTAATTAAGATTTCCAAAATTAGTAAAAAAATGGTACCTTGAGCTGGTCGCCCCTATCCTTCAGCGCCTTCTGTGTCTTCGTCAGCTCGTCTCTTAGTCCAGGACCGGGCTGCTTCGCCAAAACATTCTTCAAGTTCACGTACAACTGCTCGGCCTCTTTTAACTGCCGTTCTCTTTCGACCGCTTCGGAAGATTGCTTTATTAAACGCCTGGCAAATATTAAATACAATTACGAAAGTTATATAATCCTCTTTGAAAGTTGTTCGCCTTAACGTTACGTGTGTAAGCTTACTTTTGCAATATCTGAACTTTTTGTAACACATCAAGTAATTCCGGATCAGACCCTTCGAGTTTCCTCCACCTGTGGATGTTCATCGGATTCTGTAGCTCCTCTTCAAGAGCCCGACATTTCAAGCGCCACTTCATCAAGTCCCTCTCTAAGTGGAAGACTTCGAGTTTCATATCGATGGAATTGTGGATGGATTTGGACATGAGGAGCTTCTCCTGTCGCAGTCTTTTGATCTCGATTTTTAGCAGTCGTATGTCTTCGAGTCTTTGAGCGTATTGAGATTCACCTGCAACATTGAGGGATTGATACATCTATTTGGAGAGATTAAGAAAAGCGACCCCTTTGAAGCGTGGTTTGTAAAATTAGGATCTTCTCGTGTAAGAGAGCTATTTCGTCGTTCCTGCGCACCAGTTGCGATCCCAAAATGTCTCTTTCGTTCATCAACTGCTCCAAATCTTTTGCTTGTTCTCTTATTAGTTTCTCGTTGTCGAGAATCTCTCGATGGAGACGTTTTTCTTCTGCGTCTTTTTCGGAGATTGTGTCTTTCAAACTCTTGATTTGGTCGTGGGCTAGATTGAGCTCGACCCTAAAATTGTTACTGTTTGAAGAACACGGTCAAACGATACTCACTTTAAATTTTCCTTCTCCTTTTGCACTTTTCTCATGATATTTTCTTCTTTAATCAACAGTTGCTCCTTACACGACACGTCTTCCTTTAGTTGCTCGATCTGGTGGTTGGTAATCTTCAGTTTTTTCTTCAGCTCGCCGCTTTCGGCATTTGCTTCTTGTAACGATTTTTCTAACGCGTTTCTTTCTGATCTTACTTGATCGTACAAATTTTGCTGCATTCTCAACCGGTTTTCCGCCTCACTTATATTTTTTTTCAAGTCGTAGATTTCGGCCTACAAGATTTAACTACTAAAATGGAAGAACACGAGTTGATGGTCACCTTTTTTAGCTTAATATCGTCCATACTGTCTTCAATTTTCTTGGTCAAATTGAGTTGTTCTTCAGCTAGAGAGTTCTTCTGTCTTTCCAGAGTCAAAATTTGTTTTGTTTGCTTGTTAGTGTCGATGATGAAGTTGTCGAGTTCTGATTCAAGCTTCTTCTTGCCTTGCTCTTGGATTTTGATCAACTTCGACTGGTCTTTGTTGACGGCTGGAAAAAACCATAGTACTAACAACGTAGTTGTTTACTGATTCTACCTTCATATTTTGCTATCGTTTTGACGATTATATCTTTCTCGCGAGTCACTCCTTCGAGTGTCCTTTTTCCTATCTCTACTTGCTTCTTTAAATCGTCAATTTCTTTCTCAAAAATTGCAAGTCTTTGTCTCAACTGATTTCGGTCACCAATAATGTCGGATTTTTCCGTTTCCATTGCATAGAATCGTTTTTCAAAAATGTCTTTCTGCTTACTCACTTTGGCTAAGTCGGCTTTCAAGTGAGCCGAATCTTCTTCATACATCTAAAAACAAACTAAACTCATCTGTGTAACTCTAGATGTGTCATACTTTTAAGTCGGTCAATTTCTTGTTGTAGTTCTTTTGTAGCAAGTCCAAACTGTTTTGTTTGCCATTAAATTCATCCTGAAGCTTAGTATATTTCAGTTGGATCGTTTCATATTCTTTGTTAACTTTTTCCCTTGCCACTTTCTCATCTTTAATTCTCTCTTCCAGCTTCGTGATACTCTTCAAGTGAGAACTGATCACCGTGTTCAAATTATTCACGTGTGCATCTCGGTCTTCTATCTTGTAGTTCAACTCGGTGATGTCGCTTTCTAATTTATCTCTGATTCGTTTGTACTTGTCGGTTTCGTTGACTTGGTCCTAAAATAAAGAATGGCGTGATAGTCAACAAAGTGCAAATCTACCTCTAATTGCCCCGCGAGTTCATTAATCTTTAAATCCCCCATCGACGTCTTCCTTTCTAGTTCATTTTGATACTCCAATGCGTTGTTCAACTTCTGGGACAAATGCGTCACTTCCCCCAATAGCTTCTCGTTTTCTCTTTCCAGTCCCTCTTTGTGCTTACTCAATTGCCCCATCCTATGAACAAACTTACAAACTTACTTTTTCATTTCCTCTCTCTTACTCTTCCGACGTATCCTCCCCCATCTTATTCCTAAACTCAATCTCGGCATTCAAGCTATCAATCTGCTTGCGAAGATTGTCAATAGCTTCTTGAGCCGCTTGCTCGCGAGCATGAGCAGCATCCGCCAGCTTCCACGCGTGGTTAATTTGGGATTTGAGCTCCTGAATCGTGGTTTTATCGTGTTCGGCCAGCTCATTCGCCACCTGAATGACCCCATTCTTGTCTTCGAGTTCTTTATTCAGGGTGGCTTGGGTCTCTTCGAGATTTTTGCTTTTCTGGTAGGTTTGGTAGAAATTCTCGAAGAGTTTCTGGAAGTCTTCGGAGAAGTGGGCCGCTTCAGGGTTTTGCTCGATTTCGGCGACGGTCTGCAAGAATCGGGTTTAGGGTAATGGAGGGGAGAAGAGTGGCTACCTTGTTGAAGCCCCGTTCTAAAATGGCAAACGCATGTTCTGGGTTATCTGGATCTAGCGCTTCTTCTTGTTCGGCTTCTTCCTCGTTTCCATCGCTAAAGTCGCTCTCTTCCATTTTAGATTACTAGAAAATTCTTTTGGAGTTCGAATTTCTGGATAAGTTCCGTCAGACGTGATGTTTAGAAATTTCCATGGAAACAGGGTTATTGATTGTTGTATATAGTGTTTTTCAGGACACAAGTGCAAGTTTTGCCATAAGAAACACTACTTAGTTTTGGGGAGTTGGTACTAAGATCAATAAGGACTGTTTTCGTAAAAAATGTATCAGTTGAAAATAATCTTTATTAGAGATATGGATAATCCCCAAACCATTTATAAATAAAATGTACACTTTATCACAAAATATTTCAGTACAATAAATTAAAAATTGAGACTTTATTTTAATTTTTGTACTTACTAAAGACGCTAACCAATAATCTCACATCCTTAAAAATAAAACCACAACTCGATAAGTCATAACTCCAAACTCCTCTCGTAACTTAGATAAAATTTAAGTAAACCGTGTCGTTGAACATTCAGAAATGCGAAATGCGGCGTACCGCCGAACTCCTAAGCCTACAAGTATAAGGCAAAAATTGAAACTTGACTTAAACCGGCATTAGAAGCGACGAAGCTTACCGATTTAACCCCTCGTCTGCTAAAATCTCCTAATCATAAAAATATCAAGTACTCTCTATACAAGCCTCGTTAAATCATAAAATTTAAGTACACGGATTCACATAGTAAAGGGCGTCAGGTTGTAGATGAAACACCTGTTGCACACTCTGACCGGCTTGTGGTGTCCGAATTTTGGCAAAGGAACACTGTTCGACGAGCATCTGGCGCAGAAGACCTTGCCGCAGTTCCTGCAGTGGTGGCGCCGCTTCACCACCGTGAAGTTGACGCCGCAACTCATGCACTTGGGGGCCTCCACGTCCGGGATCCAGATGGGGGGCCTCTCCACGGCGTGGGCCTGGCTTTCGCCGTTCACGTGCAGGTTGGCCAGGTCTTCGCGCAGGGACGCGTACCGGTCGAGGTCCGACGATATGCTGCGGTCTTCCTCTTGGTTGTGCCGGGGGTGGTTGGAGTAATCGTCTTCGGTGTCGTTCTCGGAATCTAGGTGGAAGTAGACGTTGGTGTCGAAGAGGGCTTCTTGGGCTAGGATGTTGGGATCTACCGAGAATTCGTTGTTTTCGATAACGTCGTCTTCGGATGGGCGATATTCTAAGGATGCTTCTAGAGAGGTAGTTTCCACGTTTTTGCTGGTTTCGTTGGAGTCGGATGTGTTCATCAGGAATACGGACTTGAGGATGTTGCGCAGGTCGCTGGCGAAGTTTGTCTGGAGCTGGTCGGCCACTCCGGCGATGCAGACGAACAGGCGGTGGATGAGGTCTTCGCTGGATCTGGAAACGGAAGGTTGAATAAAATGGGGCCAAACGTGAAAGGAAACACCCTAGCAGTTTGGTGTACCTATGTTCATGACCAGGTTATGTTTCCAGTACCTCAATATTTAAAAGCGTATTTACAATAAAATCTTCAAAAATAGATTTCTTCATTCTAAAATACTCCTTTATTTATTCAATTTTACCATTTAACTGTGACGTTTCGTGCAAACAATGAACAAATAACTGTTCCTGTTCGTGTCATTGTTCCTGTGAGTGTAGAAATTTTGTCGACTTGGAATTGTCGTTATTTTGAACATAAAAAAAGAAAATAAGACATCAAGTGAACTAATTTGGTGTTTTGTTATCTTCTCATTTAGAAATGTTTTGAATTTCATGCATTACTTAACCCCCATTCTGTATAATACGTACTAACATAGACAAACTTTTCACATAAAAATGCCATTAACTTAAAAAATGTGGAAGGTCATGAGTGCCATTAATAATAAAGATTAGATTGTAATTTTTACTTAGAAGTAAAAAAATCCCGATAAACTAGCATGTCATAAATTCTGTTGCAATTTCAATGTTTCAACGTCTACTTAACGTTACGTTAGTGTAACGAATTTGTTCTGTTTTTAATTTATTGCCTTAAAAATGCCTTGCAAGGTTTATTCTAAAAAAATACGGTTTTTTTGTATAAAATTTTGCCGCACACCATACGAACTTCATTTGGTGATCTGTACTACTACGACACTGTCATTAAATATTTAAAATATCGTCTTCCAACAATTCATGACACTGTGAATTGCAAATTATCTAAATCATATGAGACGTAATGACCGTAATGAGATGCTACTGACATTAACCCGACATTATTGACGTGACCTTTACTAGTACATTAAGCTATTTCCAAAAGGCGGCAAAACGACGGTACACCCCATTGCAGTAAGTCTAGCGCGCTCAGATCTAAAGGATTACTTTGTTCAATTAGCCAATAAATGTCAACTGAAGTACATGATAAACACTCTAGTCGGTAAAATTTCCCTACCACTTTTGTAGTTTCGCATCTGTTTAATTCTCAAACGTACATATAATAGAATAGCTGATGCATATCTTATCAGTTTCATACATTTTAGGGTAACTAAATCTGTAACTATTATCAGGACAAAATTAATACACAGGCTGTTTCATCTACTTTTTTAAATTAAATAACTTTCACTGATTTGACCGACACGAAAATTGTGACACTACTTCGGGTTTTGGATTGATCATAGAGGGTAAAAAGAAACAAACCGTCATCCAAGGACCAAAACAAAATAGTTTTAAATATATACAAACATGATATTGGCACTCATAATGCAACTCCTACGCAACAACTAAATTTGAAGACACAAATAGCAGATACATAAAGACAACAGAAAGTTTTCAGTTTCAGGCTATTAAAATCAACAGTATATAAAATAGTACACAGGAATAGAACGATGAGTCGGCACAAATCTACCACGAGTGCTTAAAAATGGCTCATTCGTCGATTACTCGACCTCTCTAATCTAAAGAATCAATTTGATGTGTGATAAGATGGTAACACACTAAGATGACGATTTGTAGATTGACAGATCCGTGAAAAATATAGAATGGTTAGGGACAATGCTCCTAAATGATATAAAATGAAGTAGATAGGGTTAACAAGAGAAAAATTCCATGATCAAGACAGAACTACTAAAAATAGTTAAACCCTCTTTTTGTACACTTCTCTGCTAGACGTTTCCCTTTCATCACCACCACCACCACCATCATCATATATACCTATACTTTGCTCGCACTTCATTCCGACTAGCAATCTGCGCCGCCTGCATAGCCAGAGCGATCTCCTCATCGTCCGCACAATTACTATTAAACGACGACGTGTCCGAACTGCCCACGCTCGACGAGTCTTCATCAATCAGCCCTTCCACCTGTTTCGGAATTTTGCTTCTCTTCCTCAGCGGTAGCGTACTTTTCGGCAACAATTTGCTAGTACCGGGCGAGTACTCCCCACTTTTCTTTCCTTTGACGTGATGCCTCGGCGAATTCCTTACCCTAGTACCACACTTGCAACCCACAGACGCCGCATTTCCAGCGCACTGACAATCCAAACTGGGCGACCTATCCAGACTCGTGTTCTCTGTACAAATCCCCGAATCGTTGGGAGACTCCAAGTCCGTCTTCGGTTTATTCTTGGGCGAGTTCTTCGCACTATTGTCTCTTTCTTCAGTCAAAATCGAGGATAAAGTGGCCGCCGCTACAGAAATAACTTCTAGAGAATCGTGATCCGGTGGAGAGTCCACCCTATCGGAACTCTGCGGGGCGTCAGCAATCGAAGCTACGATTATATCATGGGCTATGCTATTAGGGATCAAGTATCCGGAGGTTGAAGGTACATCCACAGTCGCCGAAACGGGCTCATAATGATCGAACGTCTTTTCTTCCACCGTTGCCGTCTCCACACTCTCATTCGACGAATAAACCGCGTCCTCCTTATGACAATCACCGTAAAACTGTTCAATAAAGTCATCCAAGTCACAATGTACGTCCACATCCACCGATTTAACATCACCGATTTGCTCGTTATCGCACAACAACTTCTCCAACATGTACAACTCCCTCTTGTTCAAAGTCCACAACAGCTCCCTTATCTTATGCAACAAAGTCCTAAACGGCCGAAACATGTTGCTCATTTCCTCCATGGGCTTGTCGATGCACAACGGACCGCTCGGGAAGATCAGAAGGCCACTTACTATAGCTAGTCGCGGTATGGTGAACATTAGAGCCGGATCACAGTCGTCTACCATCTCCTGGGTGAGGAGTTTCATCTTGAGGGCGCGCTGCAGCGTCTCGGAGAAAAGCACGCCGATGAGTTCCTGCAGCTCGTACTCCTGCATGGACTTGACGGGCACCATGGCGCTGACGTACGCCAGTTCGAACTCGGCGAAGAGCTTGTCGAAGATCTTGAGGCTTTCGAGAAGCATCTCGGTGACGAGCTCGTTGCTGTCGAGCTTGATGGGGCCGTTGGGGGTGTTGTTGCGGAGGCAGGTGTCGCGGAGGAGGTTGCGAACGGTCTCGAGGCTCTTGGTTACGGCTTTGGCGAGGGGGCGCATGGCGGTGCTTTCGGCTTCTTTGTTCATTATTGACGAGCCGGCGGCGAGGCACTGGAACAGAGTGGAGTTAGTCAAAGTCAAGTGAATTTTTTAATGGGGTAGTCGAAGGAAATGTGGTTTAAAAGGGGTGCGGAATACTCATTTCTCACTGTGAAATATAGCAGTGAGAAATTAATATAATTCCATGCTCGTTAGCAGACTATACTATTTTTCTTTTACTTTATGTTATTGTATGTTATTATTGGTTAAAAGGTGTAATTAGTTTGTCCTGAAATGGAATTATTCTATTGGGCAAATAAATCTTTATTTATTTATATTTAAAAATATTTATACTTCTGCAGTTGTGGTTTATGGGTTCGTGTTCAGTTTTTATCGTTGACATCCAGATTTTTGGAAAAAATCCAAATATAACTCCAAATCTACCAGTTTCTAGTATAATAATCGACACAACAGCATTAATTCTTCCGAACGACTTGTATAAAATCGAATTCGTTGTCATTAATTAGAAAAATGAGGTGAGAACGCTAATAACCTCAATAATCAGAATTAATTGGGGAATAGGTGTGTTCAATTTTATTTAACAAAAAAAAAAATGCGTGATCAGAAACACGCTACATTTTTGGAATCAGAACGTCAAGATCTATAACACTGACTCCGAAAAATCGCGCAATCGAAACATCAAAAATCGAAAAATTGAAAAGTTCTCAAAATTGAAATGTTGAAAAATCGAGAAATCTAAAAATCGAAAAGTCTAAAAATTTTAAATTTCGAAAAACCGAGATATCAGGAAATCGAGTATCAAAAATGGTAAAATCTAAATTTAAAAATCGAAAAAGCAAAACCCAGAAAACGAAAAATCTAAAAACTTCAAAATCGGGAAAATGAAATGAAATGATGAAACATTGGGAAATATAAACATCGAATAATCAAGTAATCGAAAAATCGAAACATCCAGAAATCGAAAAGTTAGAAATTAAAGAAATAGATCAATCGAAAAACGAAAAAAAACAGATCGAGAAAGCGGAACATCAAAAAAGTGACAAATCGAAAAATTGAAAAATCAAAGAACTGAAGCTATAAAAAACGAAAAATTGAAAAATCTAACATTTAAAAAAAGCAAAAATTGAAAAATCGAGAAGTTAAAAAATGAAGAATCGAAATATTGGAAAACCCCAAAAATGAAATATCACAAAATTGGGAAATGGAAGAAAAATTGAAGAATCGACAAATTTAAAACTCCCAAAACCGAAACATTTAAAAATCGTTGGAAATTAAAAAAGTCGATCAATCGAGAAATCGAAACGTCAAAAAAGTGAAAAATCGAAAATTTAAAAATTCGAAAAATTGAAATATCGAAAAACTGAAAAATTTGCACATTAAAATATCGAAAAGTCGGTAAATCGAAACTATAAAAAAACGAAAAATTGAAAAATCTAGATTTTAAAAACCGAAAACCTGAAAAATTGAAACATAACATTAAAAAATTGAGAACCCGAGAGTTGGAAAAGTAAAAATATCGATTAATCGAAAAATTGAGAAATCCCAATACTGAAATGTCAAGAATTGAGTAATCGAGAAATTGAAAAATCGAAATATCGAAAAATTGAAGAATAAAAAACTGGAAAAATCCCAAGATTGAAAAATCGAGAGTTAAAAAATCGAGAAATCGAAAAGACAAAAAATCGAAATTCGAAAAAATGAAGAATCGAAATATTGAAAAATCCCAAAACTGAAATATTTAAAAATCGAGAAATCGAAGCCGAAAAATGGAAAATTTAAAAATTTGAAAAACCAAAATGCCGAAAATTGAAGAACTGAAAAGCTGAAAAATCGAAACATTACAAAATTGAGAACCCGGGTATTAGAAAAGTCAAAATATCGATTATTCGAGAAATTGGGAAATCGAAAAAGCCAAAATTAGAAATTAAAGAAGGAGATCAATAGAAAAATTGAAAAATCGAAAATTCAAAAATTTGAAAAATTGAAAAACCGAAAAATCTAAAACCTAGAAGTAGAAAAATCGAAAGATCGAGAATTGGAACATCAAAAAGAGTGAAAAATTGAAAATTTTACAAATCGGAAAATTGAAAAATCGAGGAACTGAAACTACAAAAAACGAAAAATTGAAAAATCGAACATTTAAAAATTCAAAAATTGAAAAATCGGAAAGTTGAAAAAATGAAGAATCGAAATATTGCAAAGCCCCAAAAATGAAATATATCGCAAAATTGAAGTCGAAAAATTGAAGAACTGAAAAATTGAAAAATCGAAACATTAAAAAGTTGAGAACCCGAAAACTGGAAAAGTCAAAATATCGATTATTCGAGAAATTGAGAAATCGAAAATTTGGAACGTCCAAAATTGAAAAATTAAAGACTTGAAAAATTGTAAAACTAAAACACCGAAAAATCGACAAATTGAAAAATTCCAACACTGAAATGTAGAAAATTGTGACCGAAAAATTGAAGAATAAAAAAATTCCAAGATTGAAATATCGAAAAAATGAGAAAAAAGCCAAAATCGAAAAGTTGGAAACTAAAAAAGTCGATCAACCGAGAAATCGAAACGCCAAAATGTGAAAAATCGAAAATTTAAAAATTCGAAAAATTGAAAAATAGAAATATTGACGAACTGAAAAATTTGCACATTAAAATATCGAAAAATCAGTAAATCAAAGCTATAAAAAAAACGAAATATTGAAAAACTGAAATATTGAAACATTAAAAAAATGAGAACCCGAGAAATGGAAAAGAAAAAATATCGATTAATCGAAAAATTGTGAAATCCAAATACTGAAATGTCAAGAATTGAGTAATCGGGAAATTGAAAAATCGGAATATCGAAAGATTGAAGAATACAAAACTGGAAAATCCCAAAATTGAGAAATCGAAAGTTGAAAAATCAAGAAATCGAACAGATAAAAAATCAAAATCCGAAAAAATGAATCGAAATAGTGAAAAATCCCAAAAATTAAATATCAAAAAATTGAAAAATGGAAAAAACATTGAACAATCAAAAAATTGGACAATCCCAAAACTGAAATATCTAAAAATCGAGAAATCGAGGGCGAAAAATGGAAAATTTAAAAATTTGAAAAGCCAAAAGCCCGAAAACTTGAAGAATTGAAAAACTGAAAAATCGAAACATTGAAAAAGTTGAGAACCGGAGAATTAGAAAAGCCAAAATTTCTTTTAATCGAGAACTGAGTAATCGAAATATCGAAAAATTGAAGAATAAAAAAACTGGAAAATCCCAAAATTGAAAAATCGAAAGTTGAAAAATTTGCACATTAAAATATCGAAAAATCGGAAAATCAAAACTATAAAAAACGAAAAATTGAAAAATTTATTTTAAAAATCCAAAAATTGAGAAATTAAAAAATCCCAACACTGAAATGTCGAGAACTGAGTAATCGAGAATTTTAAAAATTGAAAAATCGAAATATCGAAAAATTGAAGAACAAAAAAAGAGAAATCGAAAGTTGAAAAATCGAGAAATCGAAGAGACGAAAAATCGAAATTCGAAAAATTGAGAAATCAAAAAATGAAGAATCGAAATATTGAAAATTCCCAAAAATGAAATATCGAAAGATGGAAGAAGTATTGAAGAATCGAAAAACTGAAAAATCCCAAAACCGAAATATCTAAAAATCAAGAAATCGAAGTCGAAAAATGGAAAATTAAAAAATTTTAAAAGCCAAAAGCCCGAAAACTTGAAGAATTGAAAAACTGAAAAATCGAAACATTGAATAAGTTGAGAACCGGAGAATTGGAAAAGTCAAAATATCGATTAATTCAGAAATTGAGAAATCGAAAAATTTAAACATTGAAATGTCGAAAATTGAATAATAAAAAACTGGAAAATCCCAAAATTGAAATATCGAAAAAATGAATCGAAAAATCGAAAAATTAGAAAATCCCATAACCGAAACATCAAAAAATCGAGAAATTAAGGTCGAAAATCGAGAATTTTAAAAACTGAAAAATCGAAACATTAAAAATTTGGGAACCTGAGAATTGGAAAAGTCAAAATATCGATTAATCGAGAAATTGAAGAATTAAAAAATGAAAATATTGATTAATCGAGAAAATGAGAAATTGAAAAATCCGCAACACTCAAATGTCGAAAATTGAGTAATCAAAGAACTGAAAATCGAGAAAATGAAAAATTGAAAAATCGAAATATCAAAAAATTGAAGAATAAAACTGTAAAATCCCAAAATTGAAATATCGAAAACCAGACAAATTAAAAGTTGTAAATCGAGAAGTTGAAGAGCCAAAAAATCGAAATTTCGAAAAAATTAAGAACACGATTTTTTCAAAAATGAAATTTTCGATCCCCCATTTTCCACGATTTTCGAAATTTAACTAGATACAATTTCTTGTAGATGTCGATAACTCTAACCATTTTTCCAGAATCGCCCATTGAAATATTACAATTTTTAAAAATTTCAAAAAATTAAAATTTTCACTCCGAATGTTTCGAAAATATTGCTCCGTGACCTCAAACATGCTATATTTTTGCAATCAGCACGTCAAGATCTATAACCCCGAATTTTTTGAGAATTTTTACCCTATTTTTTCAGAAATAAAATTTTCCACTATGTCTATGTTTGATACGTTCTATATTAATATCAGTTTATCATAGAAAAAAGGAAAAATTGTTGCTCCTCTAGCGAGTCCCCGTAAGTAATATGTTCATTATGAATCAGTTTTCATTAAATAATCAAGTTCAATAACCAAATTATAACTTTTGTAATTTTGGAGACCGATGGGATTATAAAATCTCGCAAAAGCCGGTTAATTTACGTGACATGTTTGACTTGGCAAACTTAGGGTTGTGTAATTGTGCCTTTAGAAAATTCTGAAATCACTTTACAAATATAAGGATCGCGGTTAAAACATCTTGATAAATATAACCATTTGGAAACCAATATAATATCTCTTCCAAGAAATTTTACTGAATAATTAGTCATACGTGTAACTTATAATAGATGCAAAGCTAGTTATTAATTTTATCGCAAAACCTATTACTTTTATCGATTTGTTTAG